CAATCCAACCCCTACAGGACATTGTGGGACTTCTGTCATGGCCTAAGCATGAATAGGACTGAGATGCACATCAACAATGTTGTGCAACAGAATTCACGATCCTATTTATTTCTTAGCTTCCTGCTAAGCAATCCAGTGTTATACGCAAAGGTATGAACCAGCCATTGCCAACTCACAGAAATGGGACAAAAATTTCAAATACAGTTTTGCAATGATTAAAAAGTCCACAATGCCTGTGCAAATGAGACATTTTTCCCAATAGCACTATAATGGTGCACTTTCAACTAAGATGAGAAATTGGGGCTACCAGAGTAAAAAGAAAAAAGGCATAAAAATACAAAGAGAACTTCAAACTTTAGCATCCCCCCTTTTTAATACTAAGATACAAACGGATAAAAAGCATATAATTTGAAAGTGTGCTGTTCCACTTTACCTTTCTCTCACATAATTGTGTTCAAACAACAATCTGAAAGGAATTCAGAGGCGAAAAATTGAACTGAACCTTATATTCCTTTTCATTATAGATATCAGTGATTTTACTCCCAACCTGCACTGATATCAACACAGAACAGAACTTGATCCTTTATTTACGGCAACATCTGAAGGATTTGGATATATCACAAGTTGAAGATAAAAATTGCCAGAACACAATATATTTCCAGATGGATGGGGTATAAATAAAATAATAATTATTTTATTATTAAAAATAAAAATAGAAGTATTATTACTGAATGAATGCAAAAAAAAAAACCCAACGTTGCAGAATTAGGTTACATTTCCTGTTCTTTTATCATACAATCATCATCACTGGAAAACAACTAAGGAAGCTATGGGGGGGGATACCATTTTTTAATTTCATGTGCTGCACTCATTTCTGGAATTAGAAAGGGGGGCAGGCAATCAAAATAGACATTCAACTGAACCCCTTCTCTGGTCAATTTCCTGAACACAGGAAGCTAGCTTGACTTGTATTTTAAGCTGAAGCCCTGTAGATGTTTCGTTACATTTCTCATCAGCCTCAGGCAGTATGGCCAATGTTCAGGTTCAGGGATAATAGGATTTGTATTCCAACAGAGTCTGGAGGGCTACAGCTTCCACATCCCTGTTGTACAAGATAACCTCCAATTTCTAATGGCAAAATGAGGGACGGTCTTGTGTCATCTAACACTTCTTTAGTCTGCCACTATAACTCTCTGCCTGAAAATTCCACCCCTCCACTATCACATATTGCTGGAGGCTCTTCTCTGCCTGCTGTGTTGTTGTTGTGATGACACAGGGTATATATCCTGCACCCTGAGTGAAAGAACAGGCTGGTTAACTAGCTAACTTAGATCCCTGTTTGTTTTCATCTCCTGTGGCCTTCACCTCGCCCCTGCCATCAAGTGAGCATCTTCACTTTTACTCATTGTTTCAACTAAAACAGCCTTTGATCCTCTCTCATTTTGTCACTGTCACAGCCAATGCACTGCACTGGAGACGCCAGTAGTGCAGTGAGGAACAGAGTGAAAACTAAGGGCTTGTCCAAACTTCCTCATGTCCTGCCACCTCCCTCTCCCCTGGAGAAAATCACTCTATAGCATTCAATCAGAGCAAATGCAGATTGCTGTTTGTTCTGATTTATCAACAAAGAGCGAATTTTCTCTGCGCAAGGGGAAACTGCTCAGACCCATGCCTAAAAGCTATGAGACAAATGGAAGCTGGATGAGCCCTAAGGCATCAGCACAAGATTAAACCAGCAACAAATGTTGTTGTTTTTACTAATGGTTTAACAAAGCAGAAAACACTACTGTAATGATATTGTTGTGAGAGGGGGAAGGAGATTTTAAAACACTTTTAGCAGTTAACTGTAAGAGCTAGCAGGATATGAAAACAACATGGGAAACACATCTATCTGAATCTAATATATTGCCCTACTTCTCAGTAGTAGCACCCACCCTGTGGAACGTCCTCCCATCAGATTGCAAGGAAATAAAGAACTATCTGACTTCTAGAAGACATCTGTAGGCAGCCCTGTTTAGGAAAGTTTTTAATGTTTGATGTTTTATTGTGTTTTTAATATTCTGTTGGGAGCCACCCAGAGTGGCTGCGGAGGCCAGGACAGATGGGTGGGATAGAAGTAATAAATTGATGTTGCAACAAAACTAATTTCATCTCACCAAAGGTTCTATCAGCAATGGTGTAGTTTTTTGCTTTCAAACTCAGCTTTTGTCCCTGGAGTCTGGGTCTTCTACAATACTCTCAGTTGTGACTTCTTTTTCTAGTTTCTAGCTTTTATGCTGACTGGCTGTGTTGCCAGCTTCACTTGTATAAACTCAGGGGAATGTAGGTTCACTGCTTAATGTGCATAATAAGAAGGCCCCGTGGATAATGTGCACATAATCCTTCCAGGAAGCTAAACTTTGGCTTTTATTTGACCTGTGCTATTTTTCTAGAAAAAGAGGTGCTGGAACTCACCATGAACACCTCCCTCGATCTCTTAGAATGGCAATGGTGCCTGCCTGAGAGTTGCTGGAAGTGAGTTTGACAACTTTGAAAGATTAGCACAGCTCTCTGTATCTTACTCCCACCCCGATATCTTAGTTGGATTGTAGCAGCCCATTACTGCTATTCTGCATAGGCAGAAGGTTAGAAAGAGGGTTATTAGGTCCTTCCCTCATTTTGAACCTATGCTTGCCCCTGAAAATCCATAGAGTTAATCATAGCTTTGTTCCAATAGCTCTGTTAGGACTTTTCCATGGTATGATATGATATGGTATGGCATGGAAAACTAAACTAAACTTCAATAATTTATAGCCAATTCCAGTAGGCTATGGCTTGACCAAGCTTATGTCCTGTTAATCATAAAACATAACAACATATCATAACATAACAACATAACATAACATAACATAACATAACATAACATAACAATATACATAGTAATCTCACATGGGAAACACATTTCTCTTTTCAAAGAAAGGACAATCCTTTGGTGCTTGCTGTTCCCAATGCACCTGTATTGGTACATTATGTGGCAATATTTTTGGCTTCCAATGCCATATAAATGTTTTAATGTTTTATGAGGTAATTGCAATAAATGTGATTGATGATTTTCTGTAATTGCCTACTAGTAATTTACTATTTTGAAACACAACCTTTGAGAGATATTGGTTTCCAATCCAGAAAAGGCAAACAGGGTTTTGGTACTGTGAGATAGATGGTATTACTGCCAAAATATAAAAGAAAAACACTGCTTCCCCCTACAGTCCATTTGATTTTATTTATACAGTTTTTAAATATGTTAGCAATGTATCTTTCTTCATGTTTGCTAGGTTTAACATTTTACAATCAATTGCAGGCACATGTAGAAATACATTGCTGCTGCATCACCAGGCACAGATATAGCTTTAAGACACAGAGAGAGAGAGTCACCAAGGGTGGATAGCTATAATTATATTGGAGTGCCTTGGTGGAATCAGCCATTCTGTTTGTACATAGTGTATCTTTGAATTTATGTACACATCAAGTAAACATAAATTGATTTTAATACTAAAATTGTTGACCTTCATATTGCATGTTTCCTTCCAATTGCTGTTGTCCTGAAAATATATGAAATCTAGGTGTGCGCTGGCAAGAGGGAAACTCCTGGTGTGTTCCTAAATAATCTCAAGAATTGATGCTGATAGCCTTTTAAATGCACGACTTCCACAAAATTTCTGTGCCAAATATTCAGATCTTGTTTCTATATTGACATGCAGGTTAAATAGTCCCATCCTGGTTTCAAATTATAGCTCAGAGCTGCAGCCCACAGCCAGCTGACATTTTCGTTTCATTTTATTGGTTCTGGATTACCTCTTAAAATAATTTGATCTAGAGCTACTCTTCTGGAAGGATAGCTGGATGGGAATGATGGGTGTATGGGAGGGAATGTGAGATTTAAGGACAAGAACCAAGGATTCGGTTTTCTTTGGCTCAGTTTAGAATGCCTGTAGTCTCTTCAAATGAGTTCCACTGAAATTGTTCAGGCATGTCTGGAGGGAAAAAATTGAGGATTGCAGTCTAAGGGGATGGACCATTGAGCAGTGGGAGAAAACACGCTTTTGCATACAGAATGGTTGTGAATCAATCGCCAGTGAAAAGAATCGGATAGCAGGTGAAGGGAAATAGACTTCCCTGCCTGAAACCCAAAAGAGCCATTGGCAGTCAGACAGTGACAGCTGTTGCCTATTGCAGCTGGTAGGGCAGAAGACAAGGAGACAACAGCAGATTGCACTAAAGCCAGTAACAGGCGGAGCTAACTTCTACCTTTGTTTCCATCAACCTCCCTGCTGAGGTCTACAAGGGCAACAGTGAGACCAAGAAGGAGGAAGCTACAGCCAGGGCCACCCTCTGCTCTGGTTGTAAGTAAGAATGTGGGAAGGCAGGGGCTGGTTTAGCTGACATTGGTGGGGAACTACCCCATTTGTTATGGAATCATAGAATTGTAAAACTGTAAGTTTGGAAGAGTCATTTAGCCCAAACTCTGCAATGCAGAACCTCAGTTAGATCATACATGACAGGTGGCCATCCAACCTCTATTTTAAACCTCCAAGTGAGGAGAATCCACCTAATGGATCAGCCTCCACTGCAGTAAAACAACAACAACGACAACAACAGTACTTCTTGTACCCCATCCATCTGACTGGGTTGCCCCAGCCACTCTGGGTGGCTTCCAGCAAAGTATAAAGGAATACACCAAAACACAAAACACTAAAAACTTCCCTACACAGGGCTGCCTCCAGATGTGTTCTAAAAGTTGTGTAGTTCTTTATCTCGTTGACATCTGATGGGAGGGCCTTCACAGGGTGGGTGCCACTACTGAGAAGGCCCTTTTCCTGGTTCCCTGTAATTTCATTTCTAGCAGTGAGGGAACTGTCAGAAGGCTCTTGGAGCTGGACTTCAGGTATACAGAGCTGAAGCCATTTAGGGCTTTAAAGTCGAAACAAAATAAAAAAAAATTCCTTCCAGTAGCACCTTAGAGACCAACTAAGTTTGTCATTGGTATGAGCTTTCGTGTGCATGCACACTTCTCCAGATGGTATCTGAAGAAGTGTGAAGATGGTATCTGAAGAAGTGTGCATGCACATGAAAGCTCATACCAATGACAAACTTAGTTGGTCTCTAAGGTGCTACTGGAAGGAATTTTTTTATTTTGTTTCAACTACGGCAGACCAACACGGCTACCTACCTGTAACTAGGGCTTTAAAGGTCCACACCAACACTTTCACTTTTCCTAGTCAGCCTCTACTGCAGTCAGATGAGCCAGAACTGTGCTAAATGTCCAAATAGTGTGACATGGGAGAAGTTTGTGTCCCTTTTCCCCGAAGGGCATGTCTGTATAGCACTTTATTTATTTATTTATTTATTATTTGCTTGATCTCATTTATGAATTAGGGTCTGCTGATGATACTAAACTGTTTAGGGTCATTAAAACAAAAATGATTGTGAAGAGCATCAAAAGGGCCTCTACAGGATGAGTGGATCAGGTGGTAAAATGGCAAAATCAATTCAATGTAAACAAGTGGTAAGTGTTGAGGCAAAAACATCTTAATTTCAAAGATATGCTTGTGGGAACTGAACAGAGACTAACCAGGAGCAAGACCGTGGGACTGTAGTAGATAGCTTGATGGTGATGTCAACCCAGTGTGTGTCAGTTGTGGAAATGGCAAATTCCATGCTAGGGACCATTAGGAAAGGAATTGAAAATGAAACTTCCAATATAATAATGTCATTGTACAAATTTATGGCATGACCTCGCTTTTAATACTGCGTATTGTTCTTGTTGCTTCACCTCAAAAAGAATATTATGAAGTTGGAAAGTGTTCAGAAAAAGGGCAACCAGAATGATCAAGGGAATGGAAAACCTCCCCTGGGAGGAAAGGCTACAGCACTTGGGGACTTTTTAGTTCAGATAAAAGGTGACTAAGAGGAGACATGATAGAAGAGTATAAAATTATGCATGCCATGGATGAAGTGAATAGAGAATAGTTTTTCTCCTTCTCTCATAGCACTAAAACTCATGTTTATCCAATGAAGCTGAATGTTTGAAAATTCAGGACAGACAAAAGAAAGGCTTTCTTTACACAGTGCACAGTTAAACTATGGAATTTGCCCTAACAAGAGGCAGTGGCGGCCACCAACTTGGACAGCTTTAAAAAAGGATTAGCTAAATTCATGGAAGATAAGTTGATCGATGGCTATGTTCTACCTCCACTCAACACTAGTTCCTGGAAACCTCAGGAGGGGAAATTGCTATTGCACCAGGAGAGGACTTTAGTAATCTTCTGCAATATGGCACCCTTTGTGAGGCCAAAATTTGACACTTCCAAATGGAATTTCTCAATTATGGGGCTTTGTAATTTTGTGCCCCCTCTGCTCAGTGCCCTGTTGGGAGGAACGACCTCCACCACCCTAAATCCAGTGCTGGTTGCAACCAGGTCCTGCTTGCAGGCATCCCCTGGGCATATGGTTGGCCACTGGGAGAACAGGATGATAGACTAGATGGGCTATCAGCCTGATCCAGCACTAGCTTAATAATAATAATAATAATAATAATAATAATAATAATAATAATTTATTTATACCCCGCCCATCTGGCTGGATTTCCCCAGCCACTCTGGGCGGCTTCCAACAAAATATTAAAATAAAATAGTCCATCAAACATTAAAAGCTTCCCTAAACAGGGCTGCCTTCAGATGTCTTGTGAATGTCTGGTAGTTGTTCTCTTTGACATTTGGTGGGAGGGCGTTCCACAGGGAGGGTGCCACTACTGAGAAGCCCCTCTGCTTGGTTCCCTGTAACTTGGCTTCTCGCAGAGAGGGAACCGCCAGAAGGCCCTCGGCACTGGACCTCAGTGTCCAGGCAGAACGATGGGAGTGGAGATGCTCCTTCACGACTGAGGCCGTTTAGGGCTTTAAAGGTCAGCACCAGCACTCTGAATTGTGCTCGGAAACGTACTGGGAGCCAATGTAGGTCTTTCAAGACCGGTGTTATGTGGTCTCGGTGGCCGCTCCCAGTCACCAGTCTAGCTGCCGCATTCTGGATTAGTTGTAGTTTCCCGGGCATCCTTCAAAGGTAGTCCCACGTAGAGCACATTGCAGTAGTCCAAGCGGGAGATAACCAAAGCATATGCCACTCTGGCAAGACAGTCTGCGGGCAGATAGGGTCTCAGCCTGTGTACCAGATGGAGCTGGTAAACTTTTCCAGACCTCTAACCTATGATCTTTTTAACTGGGTTAGAATCATAGAATCTTACTTCATTTGTTTCCATTTGAAACAGTCATAAACTCTATTTTTGAGCTCCATGGATGAGGTTTTAAGACTGTTATTGCACTTGATACAGTTTTCAAGTGGGGAGGGGGAGCCAGATCAATAGCCTGTTAAGAGTAAACAGAAAGCCCTGTGCTATAAAGTTGTATTAAATTTGTGCCGTGTAATAGAATGTGATGCATCATCATCAGAAGGAAAGATCACATTAGTCATTTGGGTTACAAGATTTCATAAAAGCATGAAACACTTAAAACATAGCACCACACCTTTTAACAAACTTTTCAAAAGTGCTAGGAAGCAAACCAATTCAGGCAGCTACCTTGAAGTTGACGTTGAACCAACAATGAAGGACTTCCACATCTGTGAATTATAAATCACAGATTTCTATAACAATACATGTATTTTCATTTCTAGATTAATTCAATTAAGAGTAAATTTGTCCCTTTTTTGCCAAATAAATTGGATTTAACATATTAACTTGGGAAGACATGAGAACAAATTTACTAGGTTCATTAAGCTTAGTAAATTAAATTACAGAAAATTGTGCTTCCCAGTAATAGATTTAAGCTGTAATATTTAGCAAGTCTGCCAAAGGCAGCCATAATTCTCATGCAAATAGGTATTATAGTCTAAGAACAGCCACCTTGTATTTCATAGCAATACAATTAGTCACCTCCGCTTTGCAAAACGTTCCCATTTTAAACAATTCCTCAGTGTCGAACCTCTTAGTGGAATGATGAATGGAAAGAGATTGACAAACATGCACATGAAACTGGTGCTTCAGTATTTAGATATTGACATTAAATATGCTTAAAAAAGCACTTTGGACTGTATTCAAAGTAGACATAGAAAAAAGCCATTGGGGGAAAAACTGGACTTCAGGTAGTCATTGAACTGGCACAATGATCATGGCTGAGTGGAACCTGCTGCCATGATGGGATGGCAGTGAGGCCAGCTTGGGAGCCAACAGATCCCAGGCCAGTTTAGCTGCAGAAGCCTGATGGCATCATCTTCTTCCCATCCACACATTTGTTGGGCATAAGGGACAACTTCAGTGGAATGACAGTGGCACTGGTCATCAGGTGGTGGCCAATGGGAGGCCAACAGAGGAAGATAGGGCTGGTGGAGGGACACCTCTACTCAATCCACCCTGCCCCTCCAGCTCAGTGTAGAAGCAGTCTGGGTTGCTTTGCCGGTCAGACACAATCCTTTAAACTTAGAAAAAATAAACAACTCACTCAGGTCACCAGCTAAGGGCCAAACTAGGTGTGACAAGATTGAAACTGATGTCCTTAGATTTTAAAACCTAAGTAGCAGCTACCCAAGAACCTGCCATTTATCCTGCCCCTCCCACCCTCTCTCTCTCTCTCACACCTCCAGTAAGAATGATGAATCCAGGAGAACTCACAGACTACATAACTCCTTCAGAGGGAGGACAACCCCATCCAGAACAGGCACCATGCCTGATTCCCAGACCTGGAATCACTCAGCTGTAAGGCCTCCATCTAACTAGGCTTCATTTTCAGTTTGCCCTCATCCTGCATCCAAGCACCAGTTTAGGACCTGCACAGCTTCATTGGACTCATATGTTACAGTGAAATATAATCAAGTGCCCTTCTCTTATTGGTGACATCTCACTCCAGATAGCCCAGTGGCCACTCCCAATGGCTTCATATGGGTGATAAATAGTACTGGAGACAATTTGGAACTCTGTGACACTCCATGGCATAACTGTAAGGCAGTCTCCCAGTGCCAGTTTCTTGAATCAGTCTTGTAAGAAGGAGCCAAACCACTGAAACACAGTGCCTCCCACTCCTAACCTCAGAGCTGATCCAGCAAGCTACCACTGTAAAGGTAAAGGTAAAGGTAAAGGTAAAGGTAAAGGGACCCCTGACCGTTAGGTCCAGTCGCAGACGACTCTGGGGTTGCGGCACTCGTCTCGCTTTACTGACCAAGGGAGCTGGCATACAGCTTCTGGGTCATGTGGCCAGCAGGACTAAGCCGCTTCTGGTGAACCAGAGCTGTGCACGGAAACGCCGTTTACCTTCCCACCGGAGTGGTACCTACTGATCTACTTGCACTTTGACGTGCTTTCGAACTGCTAGGTTGGCAGGAGCAAGGACCGGTTGCAGAGAGTTCAACACAGTTTCTTCAGGGTTGTACCCCAATCCTCCATCCTTCTTGAAATAAAGGTCATAAATCCGAGTGGCCAAGGTTGATTTGGTACCAAAACCAGGCCTCAAACCAGGCAGGAATGAGCCAAAATAATCAGTTTCCTCCCAGAGTGCCAGCCACCACCAAAATCTACAGCAACTTCCATTGAGGAGTAGAATGTGACCACCTGCATTTCTTAGAGATGAGATCAACTGAGAGATTGTACACAACTTAATTGAGATACTTGGGAAACAGATTTTGCATTCCCCCCTCCCCCCAAAAATACAGTATGAAAAGGCACATACGTAAATGGGTTTCGGCAATGACCATGAATCTTATTAAGGGTTTGAGAGAAAGTAGTTTAGCTCCAGTTCATATAAAATATTAACTCTCCCAGGACATACTCTTTGCTTGTGCAGCTGGGGCCCTCACTTTTCTCCTGCAGATGGGACAGATGAGTCAGCATATATTTTCTGGATCAATCAAAGAAAAAAACAGTTTCATACTTCTATTTGTTGAGTCAAGAAGCGAGAAAAGTGGGGGGGGGGGGAAGCAACATTGGAAAGGATGGTAAGATTCCAATTTATTGAGTTTTCAGTAGCCAATAATGGAATTTGCTTTATACCTTTTCTAGCAAAACTATTTTTCATGCTGCCTATCAGACTCACAGACACACCTCAAAAGCACCAACTG